ATATTTTTTTGCATTCTGTCGGTTGCCTCTTCACTTTCCTGACTGTTTCTTTTGCAGTACGAAAACTTCTCAATTTGATGCAATCCCAAATGTTAATTTTGGCTTTGATTGCCTGTGCTTCTGGGGTGTTTTCCAAGAAGTCTTTGCTGGTACTTATGTCTTACAGGGTTTCTCCAGTGTTGACTTCTGTGGACTTCAGTATTTGGTGTAGGGATGGCAAGTGGGATTGAGTGGTGAAACCTCATCTTTCTTCAGGCTGAAATTTCCTGAAGTGTTAAGCATGCTTGATAAACCTGCAAGCTGTAAGCCTTGTGGTGTGCTATCATAAAAAACAAAAGTTACCAAGAACTTAGAGAAGTTGAATGGACAAAAAGAATAGAAATTGCAGAAAATTGCTAACTTGTTTTTAACCTACAGTTATTTTCTTAATTGTAAAAATTTTAGTATAATTAAGTTTTGCGCAAGATTTTCTTTGTGAATTTCTAAAAAATGACTGTATAATTTCAAAGAAGTTAAGGGTTCAGAATATTATTCACCCTTTGTAATTTAGCTAATTCTGTCATTATCATCATCAGCACAGCAGTTAAGCAAGAACTTTGAAAGGTAAAAGCTAACTTTAGTCTCAGCCATTTTATATGGATTTTTTTTTCTGTACAAAGAAATAATGAGGGTTAGATTAGGAAAGATAAATGTCTAGGTTTAGACTTAAAAATGCAGAAAGTATTGGATTTTATTTTATTTTAGAGGTTTAAGGCCATGTTTCCAGAAAATGGCTACTTTGTTGTGGTGAAAAGGCTATTAGGTTTAAAAATGTCTCTTGGGTTTTTATTGTCCAAAGGCTCTGTGTGTAAGGGGATGTATGCTGTGATGCCAGTTTTCTCCCTTCCTCACAAGCAGCATTCTGACAGAAATCTATGGCTGGGCCATTATTATTGCCCATGTGAATATTTGCCTCAAGATTTAAGCCTGCAGCTCTGGAAACTGCTATAAATTCTCTAAAAATTATAGCACTGTGGGTATTTATGTTATTTTCTTTGAGCATATTTTTCACTTTTATTCTATGTGTACTAGAAAAATGACTTCCAATTTGTGTAATTGTGGAAACTAGAAAAAGCTGTTGGGACATGAAGCTTCCGAAATCAACAAGAAGGTCAGAATGGATGTGGTGACTGTTCATGGTGTCCTTGGTTTGAAATATTTTCTTTTAAAGTTTTATAATTGTTTCACAGGTTTAAGTGGATTTAATGTGATCACTAAAATGGCACCTAATTAATACATTCATGCAATGTATAAAAATGCACTGAGTGCCACAAATTCTCCTGCTGCTGTATTTATTTATAGCAGTGTACGTTGCTTAATGAATGCTTTCATTTGAAAAACACTTCTGTAAATGTTTGCTGTTCGCACTTTCTCTTTGAGGACTGTCACAATTTTGCACCACCATTCAATGGGAGAGCTCATCAGAGCAATTAGTTTAGAAGTACTCCATTCACCAAAAGGTTTAAATTACTTTTGAGAATTATGGGTCAGATTGCTTGTAGATTTTCCTAGGTTGGGTTCTGTAGATACAAAGCTGAAACAAGAATTCCTAAAACAAGGGATTTTTAGGGAGATGGGTTGTGAAGGCAGCACAGTAGGGAAGGAAAATGACCAGGCAGTGAAAACTGGACAAAGTTACCCTAATCTTGCTATGAAGTTTCACTGCGAGAGCAGAGACTTGACCCCTTGTGGAAGCAAGTGAACTGGCCTTCCATAACCCTTGTTAGTTATTGGTGGTTCTCTGGGGAAGGGAGGGGCATTTATGAGTTATCACACAAGACTCAGCATCTCTCTGATGGGAACTCCAGCTATTAAAGGCAATCGACAAGGGACCCACAGCATCAATTACATAAATGAGTGACAACTTGAAAGAACAGTGAACCTGTTGGACATAGATTCTGCCACTCCCTCATCCCCAGCACATATCCATCTACATTTGTAATTAAAGATGGAAATTCAAACTATGTTCAGGTCCCTCTGATTACAACAACAGTTTAAAAACATCAGTGAGGACACAGACTTCAGTTCCTTTCTTTTTGTTGTTGTGTAGTAATTTATGTGACTAACTCAGCTTTCAAAATGCATTAATGCTACCATGAACAAAAATGGGTTACTTGAGAAATGACCCAAGATACTGTACATGAAAACCTGACGGTTTCTTAAATGCAAAATATCCTCAGGTAAGCTCTTCTCCTGGCTTAAATCTCGTATTTGAGATGCCTTATTTGCAGAAAGCTGTCACTTTCTATGCATGTGTAAGTGATTCAGATAGGATCAAAGTACTTAGTGTGTTCGGTGAGTGAGTTCAACTTAAATTCTTTCTTGCAATAATTATCTCATACCAGAGCACTGCTTCTTCCTGGTAGAACATCTCCAACCCTCTTTTTCTTCCCGTTGTAGTGTGGATTTTCCTTGAAAAGTAACTTTTTGCCTTAATTGCTACTTATCAGAATTAAGAAGTATTTTACAGAAACTAGGTAACCTTGTATGAGGACAGTGGGATTCCCATGAGTGTAACTGATTTGAAGGGCATTTTATTCTGTTTTAAGTTGTCAAATATTTTTCAGGGGCATGGATGGCATATAAAAATTCTTTGAATAGCACAATTAACTTTAAAGTATAAGACCATTGGTAGAGTAGAAATAAACAATGGCAAGTTTCCAATGGATCAAGGAAATTATTTTCTGCTAATGATATTCCTCTGATTGCATCTGTATTTGATTATTCAAATTTATTAAGCAGGAATAATGATATGCAAATAAACTCAGAATTTAAAAAGATTAATTCAGTTTAGAGTTCAAGCTGATAGCCCAATCTTTTCATTCTGCATAGGACTTTCTAATGCATTTTTTTTTTTTTTTTTTTATTTTTGACAGGCAGAGTGGACAGTGAGAGAGACAGAGAGAAAGGTCTTCCTTTTGCCGTTGGTTCACCCTCCAATGGCCGCCGCGGCCGGCGCGCTGCGGCCGGCGCACCGCGCTGATCCGATGGCAGGAGCCAGGAGCCAGGTGCTTTTCCTGGTCTCCCATGGGGTGCAGGGCCCAAGCACCTGGGCCATCCTCCACTGCACTCCCTGGCCACAGCAGAGAGCTGGCCTGGAAGAGGGGCAACCGGGACAGAATCCGGCGCCCCGACCGGGACTAGAACCCGGTGTGCCGGCGCCGCTAGGCGGAGGATTAGCCTAGTGAGCCACGGCGCCGGCCTCTAATGCATTTTTAAACAGATTTATTTATATGAAAAGTAGAGAGAGAGGGAGAACATGAGGGAGAGAGAGAGGGAGAGAGAGATATTTTCTATTTGCTGGTTCATTCCCCAAATGACCTTCACAGCTGGGGATGGCCCAGGATGAAGCCAGGGGCCAAGAACTCTGTTTGAGTTTCCCAAGTGGGAAACAGGAACTGAAATATGTGAGTTTCACATGCTTCTTTTCCAGGCATATTAGCAGGACTCGGGCATCCCAAGCAGTGGCTTAACCCACTGTACCATAATGCCTGCCCCAAACCAGACTTGTGTCTGCAAGCATTCCAAACTAAACGAGACATTTTGGAGAATACTGGATTTATTAATGGGGGAGGGTGACTTGACGGGATCCTATTTGTAGATGACTTTGTCAGTTATCTGAAATTTAACACCATTGCACTTTTTTTTCCACCCACTACTAGTACTTAGCAATACCTCCACAAAGCAAGAAGTTAAGAGGGTTAAGAAAAAAATACTTGTAGACTTGCCTTTGAAGCCACATCTTAAATAAGCATCACCCTTAGTCAGTGTTTTCCTTTATATAGTTGTTCAATGAACTGTCTACATTTGTATTTCCCTTCAACCTGGACATAGAAACTTTTATGAAGAAACAAAATTCCTTTATAAATCTATGTAAAAAATTCATTATTTTTCATTCATTGGTCATAATTTTTAAAAATATTGTCCTAGGCAAGATAGATAGAATAAATATTTTTTAAACTTTTATTTAGTAAATATAAATTTCCAAAGTACAGCTTATGGATTACAATGGCTCCCCCCCCCCATAACTTCCCTCCCACCTGCAACCTTCCCAACTCCCACTCCCTCTCCCTTTCCATTTACATCAAGATTCATTTTCAATTCTCTTTATATACAGAAGATCAATTTAGTATATATTAAGTAAAGATGTCAACAGTTTGCATCCACACAGAAACACAAAGTGAAAAATACTGTTTGAGTACTAGTTATAGCATTAAATCACAATGTACAACACATTGACAGAGATCCTACGTGAGGAGTAAGTGCACAGTGACTCCCGTTATTGACTTAACAAATTGACACTCTTGTTTATGGCATCAGTAATCACCCATGGCTCTTGTCATGAGCTGCCAAGGCTATGGAAGCCTTTTGAGTTTGCCAACTCTGATCTTATTTAAACAAGGTCATAGTCAAAGTGGAAGTTCTCTCCTTCTTTCAGAGAAAGGTACCTCCTTCTTTGATGGCCCCGTTCTTTCTGCTGGGATCTCACTCTCAGAGGTCTTTTATTTAGGTCCTCTTTTTCTTTTCTTTTTTTTGCCAGAGTGTCTTGGCTTTCCATGCCTAAAATACTCTCATGGGCTCTTCAACCAGATCTGAATGCCTTAAGGGCTAATTCTGAGGCCAGAGTGCTATTTAGGACATCTGCCATTCTATGAGTCTGCTGTGTATCCTGCTTCCATGTTGGATCGTTTTCTCCCTTTTTTTATAGAATAAATATTTTGAAAGGTATTTTGCTTATCAGACTCCTTCACATTATGCCTGGAACTCATGGCAAGATCAAAAAAGGAATGAACGAAGTCACTGAATTAGAATTTATAAACTTTTCTGTAACTGAAATTAAATTTGGCTAATGTATTAAAGGAAGACATAACCTTACTTCATGTAGCTATTATCATTTTCATTTTGAGACCTTTTAGATTCCATAGTTTCACAACATAGTGTGACATTTTTGTTGCTTCTAGAAACTTCCAACTCAATGAAGGAGACCATTGGATTTATCAAGCTGTTTTGGACCAATATCCTGGAGATCTCTATGGCAGAAGGACTCTCTATCTGGACATGTTACAAAGATACTTTCCTCACAAATCTAGGCATGATTTGGTGAGTGCTGGACCCTGAACTACACACTGACAACTTAAATTGTTTCAGCAGTTATTTAGAAAAAATACATATTTTACATGGTAGTTGATTTTCTTGGTTGCACTCTAAAACATGATAGGGTTATAGATTCAAAGCCTGTACAGCTTATTTCTCATTTTTTTTAATAAGTAAGAAGGTGAGAGATCTCTGACAACATTTATTCTTTCCACGTCTGTTTGTTCTTCACTGAGGCTCCCAGGCCACTCCGCTAGTGTTTGAAAACCACGTGTTTGCATGGTCACCTACCCACCGTCAGAGGTTCTGCCACCTACAGGTGTTCCATCCACAGAATCTTTCAGATCCCAGCCCTTCTAGTCAAGGGGGTAGCCAACATTGGCCCTGGGGGAGGGTGCTTACCCATACCCTCCCCACCACATTTGGTTGCCTATTCCCCCTAGATTTATCAGCAACACAAATGCCCCAGTTTCAGAACTCAGGGGCATGACTTAAATTTTCTGTAGAAGAAATTTGGAAATTATTGCTTTGGCCTTTAGTTGCCAAGTCCACAAAGGCAAGAAAATAGAATTTATTGTGTCACCAGTTAATTCCACAATATCTCATCTTATATGTAAACAAGGATGCTTAGCCTCTTAATTTTTTTAATGAGCTGGGCAATAAAATATTATCACATACTCTTCATTTTTATAATTGTTTCCAATTAAGCAGGTAACACCAGTAATCAACATGTGAATAGCATCAGTCCCGAGGAAAATCCTTTAACACAACACAACAGTTGGTGAGATAAGGACTCTTGCTATTCTTATTTTCAGATAAATAAACGGAAGCGAAGGCTATTATCCCATCCTCTCTCATCCTACCCTTTCCATTATTTTTGATTAATTCTGGATTTTATTTTGTAATGGGTTTGTACTATATAACAATTCACTGTGCATTTTTAAATTGTTAATTATCAAACTAGATCTTTCTATTACCTGTTTATTCTATTACTTCTGCAACTAGCTGTTATTTTTTTTCTTAACTTTTATTTAATGAATATAAATTTCCAAAGTACAGCTTATGGATTACAATGGCTTCCCCCCCATATCATCTCTCCCACCCGCATCCCTCCCCTTTCCCACTCCCTCTCCCCTTCCATTCACATGAGGATTCATTTTTGATTCTCTTTATATACAGAAGATCAGTTTAGCATACATTAAATAAAGATTTCAACAGTTTGCTCCCACACAAACATAAAGTGAAAAATAATAGATGATTTTTTAAATGATGATGAAATCAGATCAGACCTATTGTCATGTTTAATCCCAGCGAGAGTCAAGTTGGGAATTGCTAATTTCTTTCTTTTTTTTTTTTACAGAAGATCAGTTTAGTATACATTAAGTAAAGATTTCAACAGTTTGCACCCCTATAGAAACACAAAGCGAAATATACTGTTTGAGTACTCATTATAGCATTAAGTCTCAATGTACAGCACATTAAGGACAGAGATCCTACATGAGGAGTAAGTGCACAGTGACTCCTGTTGTTGACTTTACAAATTGACACTCCTGTTTATGGCATCAGTAATCTCCCTATGCACCAGTCATGAGTTTCCAAGGCTATGGAAAACTTTTGAGTTCACCGACTCTTATCTTGTTATCTTGTTTAGACAAGGTCATATTCAAAGTGGAGGTTCTCTCCTCCCTTCAGAGAAAGGTACCTCCTTCTTTGAAGACCTGTTCTTTCCACTGGGATCTCACTCACAGAGATCTTTCATTTAGGGTTTTTTTTTTTTTTTTTTTTTTGCCAGAGTGTCTTGGCTTTCCATGCCTGAAATACTCTCATGGGCTTTTCAGCCAGATCCGAATGCCTTTAGGGCTGATTCTGAGGCCAGAGTTCTGTTTAGGACATCCACCATTCTATGAGTCTGCTGAGTATCTTGCTTCCCATGTTGGATCACTCTCCCCTTTATTTATTCTATCGGTTAGTGTTAGCAGGTACTAGACTTGTTTATGTGCTTCCTTTGACTCTTAGTCCTTTCATTATGATCAATTGTGAACTGAAATTGATCACTTGGACTGGTGAGATGGCATTGGTACATGCCACCTTGATGGGATTAAATTGGAGTCCCCTGGTATGTTTCTAACTCTACCATTTGGGGCAAGTCAGCTTGAGCATGTCCCAAATTGTACATCTCTTCCCTCTCTTATTCCTACTCTTATGTTTAACAGGGATCACATTTCAGTTAAATTTCAACACTTAAGAATAACTGTGTGTTAATTACAGAATTATTAAGTAGAACAGACAAAAAAACTACTAAGAAGGATAATGTATTAAGTTGTTCATTAACAGTCAGGGCTATGCTGATCAAGTCACCGTTTCCCATAGTTTCCATTTCACTTCAACAGGTTTCCTTTTTGGTGTTCAGTCAGTTGTCACCGATCAGGGAGAACATATGGTATTTGTCCCTTTGGGACTGGCTTATTTCACTCAGCATGATGTGTTCCAGATTCCTCCATTTTGTTGCAAATGACTGGATTTCGTTGTTTCTTACTGCGGTATAGTATTCTAAAGAGTACATATCCCATAATTTCTTTATCCAGTCTACCGTTGATGGGCATTTAGGTTGGTTCCAGGTCTTAGCTATTGTGAATTGTGCTGCAATAAACATTAGGGTGCAGACCGCTTTTTTGTTTGCCAATTTAAACTAGCTGTTATTTTTAACTAAAGATTTTTATATTTTCTACAATTAACAAAATGAAGATTTTCATACTTTTTACATTGGATTGGTTGGCATGTGTCTCTGCATGCTCTATGTGCCCTTTCCCTTGACTGTTGTGAATAATAGTATTGTGATAAACATGGGAGTGCAGCTATTTACTCCATATGCTCATTTTGTTATATATATAACAAAATCTCCAGAAAAATGATAGCTGGGTCATATGGTGGAACTATTTTTAGTTTTTTGAGGAACCTCCAAGCTGTTTCTCCATAATGACTACATTAATTTGCATTTCCACCAACAGTATACAAATGCTCTGTTTTCTTCACATCCTCACCAGTATTTGTTATTTTTTGTCTTTTTGATAAGAGTTATTCCAACTAAAATGAAGTGATACTTTGTGCTTTTATCTTAAATTTTCTTAATGGCAGGCGCTATTGAACATTATTCTTGTATTTGTCAGCCATTTGTACTTTCTCTAAGGAATGCCTATTCAGATCTTTATCAATTTCTTAACTGGATTTTTTTTTATTGAGGGTTTTGTTCCTTATATATTCTGGATACATATCAGATTCATAGATTGCAAATATTTTCTCCCATTCTGTTGTCTCTTTACTTTGTTAATTGTTTGTTAGCCTATTCCCAAGCTTCTTAGTTTGATATAATCCCATTTGTCTAGTTTTGCCTTTCTTATCAAAAAAAACCAGTGTATGCAATTGTTTTAAAATGTGTTCCTGGGCCGGCGCCGCGGCTCACTAGGCTAATCCTCCGCCTAGCGGCGCCGGCACACCGGGTTCTAGTCCCGGTCGGGGCGCCGGATTCTGTCCCGGTTGCCCCTCTTCCAGGCCAGCCCTCTGCTGTGGCCCGGGAGTGCAGTGGAGGATGGCCCAGGTGCTTGGGCCCTGCACCCCATGGGAGACCAGGAAAAGCACCTGGCTCCTGGCTCCTGCCATCAGATCGGTGCGGTGCGCCGGCCGCAGCGCGCCGGCCGCGGCGGCCATTGGAGGGTGAACCGACGGGAAAAGGAAGACCTTTCTCTCTGTCTCTCTCTCTCACTGTCCACTCTGCCTGTCAAAAAAAAAAAAAAAAAAAAAATGTGTTCCTTATATTTTATTCTAGTAGTTTCATAGCTTTAGATTCTACATTTAAATCTTTGAGTTGATTTTTGTCTAAGGTGGGTGATAGGAGTAAAGTTTTAGGCCTCTTCATATGGATATCCAGTTGTCCCAGCACCATTTATTGAGGACTACCTTTTCTTCAGTGTATGTTTTTCACACCTTTGTGAAGCTTTAGGGGCATTAGATGCATAGATTAATTTCTGGGATCTCTATTATGTTGTGTTGGTTTATGTGTCTGATTTTATGTGAGTACCATGCTATTCTGGTTACAATAGCTCTAAACTATGTTTTGAAATCTGGTATTGTGATGCCTCCAGCTTTGTTTTAGTTTAACATTGCTTTGGTTATTTAGGGTCTTTTATGTCTCCATGTGAACTTTAGGATTTCTTTTCTAGTTCTCAGAAGCATGTCACTAATATTTTGAGGATTGGGTTGAATCTGTAAATGACTTCACGTGTATGGTCATTTTAATAATTTTAATTCTTCCAATCCATGAACCTAGAATGTCTTTCCATTTCTGTGTCTGTAATTTCTTTCATCAGTGTTTTAAAATTTTCAAATTGTAGCAATCGTTTACATCTTTGGTTAAACTTATTCTAAGATATTTTCTTAAAGTTACTGTGAATGAGATTGCTCTTATAATTTCTTAATGAGTTTGTTATTGGTTTATAAAATGCTTCTGATTTTTGTGTTCATTTTCTGTTCTGCAACTTTATAGATTTTATCAGTTCTGAGTCTCTTGATGGAATCTTCAAGTATTTCTATATATGGAATCATGTCATCTGCAAAGAAGAATATTTTGACTTATTTTCCTACTTGTATGCTTTTTAGCTCTTTCCCTTGCCTAATGGCTCTAGCTCATACCAAATGGGAGTATTGAGAGTGGATCTCCCTGTTCAGTTCCATTTCAGATGCTTTCAGATTTTCCCCATTCAAGAGGATACTGGTTGTGGGTTTGTCATTTGTAGCTTTTATTGCAGAAGTATATTCTTTCTATACTTACTTTGTTCAAGGCTTTTTTCATGAATGGATATTGAATTTTATTGAATGCTTTTTCTGCCTCTATTGGGATGATCATGATTTTTATCCCTCATTCTGTTGATGTGATATACAAAATTTATTGATTTTCATATGTCAAACTATCTCTAAATCCTTGGAATAAATTCCATTTGGTCGGTGTGAAT